AATATTTAGATGTGATTTATTATAATTCACATCTTACTTGTATCCATATTTTATGCTAGCATTCACATTCGTTTTCGCCAAAATTTGCTGTAAAGCGATTGCTGTGTCTCTTGGCATTATTCTAACCTCATCGTTTGCATGGCATACATTTTTTTTTATCTCATCATTGGTTGTTTTTGTGTTTCAGTGCCCATCCTGTGTCGTCAGCGAGTCATAATACAACCCCATTTTGTGATACATGTCTGTGATTATTAATTGACAATCTCTTCCAGGAATTCGATGACCTTGATGAAGATAACAAGAACAAGCTGGAAAAACGATCAGCAGAAGATCTTTTCATGTATGAGCAATTCTTTCCTGAGTTACTTGAATTCACCGAGGTAAGATGACACTTTCAGTTTTGATTCACCATTACTTTAATACTTGATATATTTACCTGCAGCTCAGAGTTATTGGATGCTTAGAGGTGTGCACCCCCCTCCCCTGCAACTCAATGACTCACTCTCTTGTATTGCTTTCATTTTAATTGACCTGCAAATTAAAATAGTAAATATTATTTTCCGAAGGGTTCTACAGGTTAATAGGATTTTGATTTATTAATTCATTAATTTGTTTATATTTGACAAAATTTAGGAGAAATATTTGCTTAAAGATGAAGAGAAAGTAGAAGAAGGCAAAGATACAAAAGAGTACAATGGTAAATCATCTTCGACAGTCATCATTCCAACAGCCACGATGGATTCCAGAACAGTGCACAATATGGATTCTAGAATTACCTCTAATCTTGTCTATAACTCTAAAGAAAACCGATTCAGTTTGCCAAACTTATCAAAATATAACTACATGGTTTCGAACAAATCGTTAGCGGTAAATGCTGGTGATCTATCTCTTAACATGGGAGGTATACGCTTAGTGTCGGATAGTGGAAATGGAAGCTCTGTATCAGAGTGTAGTCTCAGATCTAGTGCCAATACTTCAGTTGACTCTAGAAGTGTCGACGGTGCTAGTGTGTTCAATGGAAAAAACAATAGACGACATTCAAAATCTCATAATAATTTACGTGGGAGCCGGTCTCCCAGCAAGGTGCACAAGGTGTCAAAATCAATGACTTCTGTCAAGAGTAGTCTTTCCGAGCGTTGTCGTGCCAATTCACCGTCTATTCCAAGTAGTCGGTCAAAAGTGGATTCGGTAATTGAAAGTTTCAATCCCGACTTGATGATCACGTCGTTAACCATCCAGTCGTCGGATAGCGCCAGGACAGACCGAAACAGTTCTAGAGCCGACAATGCCTGTGAAGACATCAACGCCAGCACGCTTCAGTCGAATAATTACGAAAACTATAGCAACCCTGATATCTTTGTAGAAGTAGCTCACAAAACAAGAAGTGTCCAAGTATTAACAAAGTTAGCCTTCCCAGAATTCAATGGTCATATCTCTCCTATCTATCCTGAACCATTCAACGACAGACCAGGAGGGGTACAAAGGTAAATGTTCTCTCTTCCGCATATTTTAGTAGTTTATGAAATATTTTAAATGATTGCTCTGTGAGGAGGGTCACAATATTTCCACACCCTACAAAATATTTGCCTTGCATAAGTTCTCTACCACACTGATTCTTTCCAATTTTTGTTGTGTATTATTTTTAGGCATAACATTATATGAATATCAGCCTCCTACATGGCCTGACCTCCCTATTTACAGTGTTGTGTTCCTTATATTCAATGCATTCACATCACATGGTGTATTTAATAACCATTTCATTCTTCATTCTTTTTATTTTATTTTTTCAATTTTCATATATGCAGGAAATCCCGTGTGTCTAGTGCTCGCCTGTATTACACAACGTAAATAGATATACCATGGGTGACATGTGTTTTGACAAAAATGGCTTCTGTTTGATTTGGTTTTGTCTTATTGGTGTGTGTTTGTTACTAACTGGTGCGGATTTTTAAAACAATTTTTGCTTCTACTTTTTCATAGCAATAATTGGGCATGGTCAGCAATTTTCTTTTTTATTTCTTTTAATACAGTAATTGTTTTAATAGTGAAGCATATCTTTAATTAATGGGCATTTTCATTTAGTGATCATCAACTAATATTATTTTATGCCAGGCATAGCAACAAAACAACCATTTGGAATTAAATTTCTATGTATATTGTCATAAGTCAATATTCGATATCTGATGAAAATAGCACAAAAAATACTTGTGTCAGAAACAAGTTAGGCAATCTTGATTTGAGCCACCATATTTGTGTCTAGACATGAGTTGACATTGAACTAACCCATACCATTGCTTGGTTTATCAAGCATATGCAATAACGCTGACCATACCCATTTAAAGTTTAACTATGCTGGTTGGGTTGCCTACAAATTGGGATAAGGATTTGAGATATTTGAAGGTCGCTATCTAAGCCTTCTTTTAAGTCTATAAATACTACCTAGATCTAAGTGTCAAGAAGGGTTTAACAAACCAACTCTACATGCATCACCTATCCTGAACTTGAACCGATCAATTCTAAATAAATTCCTCTAGATTAAAGTAATGTATATTATTGTTAATTTCTCCCAAGTGTAAATAGTTACCATAGAAACATTGTGTCGGTTCATAATGATAATGCTGTATTTACTAGCATATGTACTACATGTATCAATAAAAGGAGTACATATGGTAATGTCATATTTTGGTAAATCCAACATACAATAATTATAATTTTTTGGTGTTTGTGCACTTCTAATAGATCAAATAGGGTAATTGTAGTATGAAAACCATTAAACAATTGTCATGCAAGTTATTAAGGTGTCCATATTTTAATCCTGTCAATCTTGTGTGCTGAGTTGTGTAACATTGCTGTGGTTGTTTCAGTAGATTGTCTGATATGTGACTACCGGTAATAAGAATAGATCTGATTATACTTAACTTTTCCAACATTATGTGCAGTACTGTGATAATTAGGGTGTATTTAAAGAGGGGGGGCAGTATTTTACAACCAAGATTTACTGAATTTTTGCCATGAATGGAAGCATTGACAATGGAAGTTATGGGATAAATATGACCACTATTTCCTTGAACTTTGGGACAATTTCTAAAAAAACGGGGGAGAAGACTTTGAGATGAAGATGTTATATTATATTATCATTCGGTAATTGTTCTAATAAACTTTATTAAGTCTTTTTCCCTCCTGGTGATTTAAGTGGTTGAACTTTTCATCTTGTTTTATTATTGTAAACTCAGAATGGACCACGAAAAAAAATGTTTCTAATCATCAAATTATCATACATACTGGTACCCGGTAGAATAAATTTTTTCTAAAATAAAAGTATTGTAATACAGCACTCCAACTGTAATCATGACAAGTGTGGGAGCATGGTTGATCAGAAACGTTTTTTGGGGGTTGAGTTTTGTATGGCAATTCTTATGTAAATGGGTGTTGAGGAAGTTACAAAAAAATTATCATTTTGTCAATAGCAGCATGTTGTTAGAGAACTGTCAAATAAACATGATGTGACATTTTACAACTGTTTATCTTTTATGATAGGAACATGATATTTGATGATATAGATCGGATGATACACCCTCAGAGCATCATTGATAAAGTGGTGTTTGACTTGGATCAGATAATGGGAACTAACCCCTATTTGAGAAGTGGGAAATCCAGAGAACCTGCGTACCAGGCTTACAGTTCTGGTGATATCAAAATTAAGTAAGTCAGCCATGTATACTACTGACTACAATTCCATTGCTAGGCCATCTTTGCTGGTTACCATATTTTCTCAATCAGAAGTACATCTTCTTTGGAAGTGTGTTGAATCTAGATTACCCTGACGTCATGAGTAGCATTTGTTATGCCTCGGAAATGCAAGTTGTCCAATTTGGGGGAAGGTTAAAGTAAATTTTTATTGTGTGCATCAAAATCGCTATAATAAATTACCGTACACAACAAAAACTAAATCGAACATGAGTGAACGTAGAACATTGTAAAAATTATACAGAAAACATGCAACAAGTGGAAATGTGCTCAAATGCTAACTGAGCTAGTATATAGGAGTTTGTAAATATCGCATCATTATCATTATCTACTGTTGTCTGAAACATTAACAAACAATGATTATTAAAAGCTGAGTTAACCTGACATTAAAGTTTAAGTATCTGTATCCGCAGATCAGTTATGTTTTTAAGGCCATGAATGTGTTTGTTCATAATGATGGCTTTATGTTTTGCAGGAATTTTCCATCTCCTGAAGGTACTGACATGACAAATACTCTGCAGTTTAACTCTCTCTTTGAAAGTGGTAATTTGAGGAAAGTTATACAGGTAGGTCTAGTACGTTATTCCCTGTTTGCCATCTGTACTTAAAATAAGCTCTCTTTTTTTCGAAAGCTGTCTCATTAAGAATATCATTCAACAACGTGTGCATGTATTTTGCACAGCATTTTTGACTTGCCAAGCAGTATAAAAAAAACTTTATGACTGCATACATAGTATTGAATACCAATTTTTGGAACAGTTACCTTTAAGGTAACAATAAGATATTGCTCAAGTTTTGAGATGAGCTTACAGACACATTATCGGTCAGAATGCAGTTTGAATGACTCACCTGGAAACGAAAATTACCATTTATGCTAATCCCACATCAAGCACAATGACAAATAACTGTTTCTTCTTGTTTTCACCCACAGATTCGTAGATAGAATATGATCTAATTTTAAACTCTGATATTAATTGCAATCACCACCACCAATGGTTTTACTTTGAAGTAAGTGGTATGAAAACTGATGTACCATATCGATTCAACATTGTCAACTGTGAAAAACCCAATAGCCAATTTAACTTTGGTAAGTTATTATTAA